TAGAGTTTTTATATTTGAACAAGTTAAGTTGCTATCAGTTTAAAATGCTGATAGCAGCTTTAAAAACTCAATTATATCTAAAAGATGTTTTATGTAAGCCTCATGGTAACCTCAAAGCAAAAACCAACAGTAGATATACAAAGATAAAGAAAAGGGAATCAAAGCTTATCACTATGGAAAATCATCAATTAATTCACAATGAAGACAGCTGAAGATAGCAAAAAAGGAAAAATGAAACAGGGAACTATAAAACAGCCAGAAAACAATTAATAAGATGGCATTAGTAAGTCCTTACCTATCAATAATTAATTTGAATGTAAATAAATTAAATTCTCCAATTGAAAGACATAGGGTGACTGAATGGATATAAAAACAAAATCCAACTATATACTACCTACAAGAGACTCACTTCAGCTTTAAGGACATACATAGGTTAAAAGTGAAAGACTGGAAAAAGATATTTAATTTAAATGGAAACCAAAAGAGAGCAGGAATTACCAAACTACTATCAGACAAGACTTTAAGTCAAAAGCTGTAATGAGAAACAAAGAAAATCATTATAAAATGAGAAAGAGCTAAATTCATCAAGGAGATAACAATATATAGGTGCCTAACACAGAAGCACCTAAATATATTAAGTAAATACTAACAGATCTGAAGAGAGAAAGAGACAACAATGCAACAATAGTGGGGAACTTCAATCCCCTACTTTCAAATAAGCAAGTGGCCTTATCATTTAGACAGAATATTAAGGAAATATGGTATTTGAAATATACTTTAGACCAAATGTACCTCATAGACAAATACAGAACATTCCATCCAAGAGTAGCAAAATAGTTATTCTTCTCAAGTGCACATGGCACACTCTGCAGGTTAATGTTATTAGGCCACAAAATCCTTTGTAAATTAAAATGACTGAAATCATAGCAAGTATCTTTTCTGACAAAAATGGTATGAGATTAGAAATAAGTAATAGGAGGAAAGTGGGAAAAATCACAACATGTGGAAATTAAACAACACACTCCTCAACAATGGGTCAAAGAAGAAATCAAAATGGAAATAAAACAATATCATGAAACAAACACATATGGAAACATAACATACCAAAACTTAGGGGATACAGCAAAAGTGGTTCTAAATAGAATGATTATAGTGATAAAGTCCTGCATTAAGAAAGAAGAAAGATCTCAAATAAACAACCTAACCTTATACCTGCAGGAACTAGGAAAAGAAGAACAAATCAAATCCAAAGTTAGCAGAAGGAAAAAAATTAAAAAGTTAGGAAGTAAATTAAACAGAGATCAGAAAAACCATAAAAAAGATCAATGAAACTAAGATTGGTTTTTGGAAAAGATAAACAAAATTACAAACCTTTACCAGACTAAGAACAAAAGACTCAAATAAATAATGTTTAAAATGAAAGAGTAGATTTCATAATTGATACCACAGAAATACAAAGCATCTTAAGAGATCACTATGAACAATCATATCCCCCCAAACTGGATAATCTAAAAGAAATGGATGAATTGCAAGAAAAATACAACTTACTAAGAATTTACCATGAAGAAACAGAAAATCTGAACAGACCAATAATGAGTAAAGAGATTGAATCAGTAGTGAAAAATTTCACAACAAATAAAAGCCCAGGACCAAATGGCTCCATTGATTAATTCAACCAAACATTTAAAGAACTAATACCAATCTTTCTTTCTTTCTTTTTTAAGTTTACTTATTTTGAGAAACAGAACACAAGTTGGGGAGGTACAGAGGAGAGAGAGAATACAAAGCATGCGCCACACTGTCAGCATAGAGTCTCATACGGGGCTTGAACCCAGAAACCGTGAGATCATGACCAAAGCCCAAATCAAGAGTTGGACACTTAACCAACTGAGCCACCTACACACTCCAATACCAATATTTCTTAAATTCTTTCAAAAACTGAAAAGAAAGGAATAGTCCCAAACTCATTTTAAGAAGCTAGCATTACTCTGATACCAAACCCAGATAAAGACAATACAAGAAAATAAAAACTACAGGCCAATATAGCTGATGAATATAGATATAAAAGTTCTCAACATAATACTAGAAAACTGAATTCAGCAGCACATTAAAAGGATCATAAACATGATCAAATAGTATTTATCTCTGGCTTGGAAAGTAATGTAAAAATCAATCAATCAATCAAAAAGGGAAAAATGTATTTCTGGGACACAAGGAGAATTCAACATTTGCAAATCAATAAATGTGATACACCACACTTATAAAATGAAAGACTAAAATCATATGATCTACTCAACAAATGCAGAAAGCATTCAATAAAATACAACACCCTGTCATGATGAACACTCTAAACAAATTGGGTACAGAAAGAACATGCCTCGACATAATAAAGGCCCTTTATGATAAGAGCTAACATCACACTCATTGGTGAAAGGTGAAAGCTTTTCCTCTAAGATCAGGAAAAAGACAAGATTCTCACCACTCCTACTCAACATACTAGTGGAAATCCTAGACAGAGCAATTAGGCAAGAAAAATAGAAGGAATCAAAATGGAAGAAGTAAATTGTCTCTTTGCAGATGATATGATCTTAAATATAGATAATCCTAGAGTCCACCCCAAAACTGTTAGAACTACTAAATGAATTTAGTCAAGTTGCAAGATTCTAAACCAACACACAAAAATCAGTTGTGCTTTTACACACTAACAATGAACTATCTAAGAAAAAATAAAGAAAACAATCCCACTTTCAATAGCATCAAAATAATAATATACTTAGGAATAAATTAACCAACGAGGTGAAAGATCTATACAATGAAAATAATAAGATTTTGGTGAAAGCAACTTAAGATGACACAAGTAAATGGAAAGACATCCCATGTTCATTGATTGGATGAATTTTGTTAAAACGACTATACAACTCAAAGTCATCTATAGATTCAATGCAAGCTCTATCAAAATGTCAATGGCATTTTTTCACAGAAACAGAAAAAACTATCCTGAAATTCATTTGGAACCAAAAAAGATCCCAAATAGTCACAGCAATCCTGAGAAAGAAGGAGCAAGCTGGAGGCATCACACTTCCTGATTTCAAACTATATTACAAACCTACAGTAATCAAAACAGTACAGTACTAGCAAAAAAACAGACACATAGACTAATGGAGCAGAATTGAGAGCCCAAAAATAAACTCTCACATATACAGTCAACAAATATTTGACATGGAAGCCAAGAATACTCAACAGGGAAAAGATAGTCTCTTCAATAAATGATATTGGAAAAACTGGATATCTACATGAAAAAGAATGAAATCAGAGCACTCTCTTACACCACTCACAAAAATTAACTCAAAATGGATTAAAGACTTAAATGTAAGACCTGAAACCATAAAATTCCTAGGTGAAAACATAGGGAAAATTTTGACATTCATCTTGACAATGATTTTTTTGGATGTGATACCAAAAGCACAAGCAACAAAAGTAAAATTTAAAAAGGGGAACTACATCAAACTAAAAAGCTTCAATCAAAAAAAGAAACAACAGCAAAAGAAACAATTAACAAAATGAAAAGACAGCCTACAGAATGGAAGAAAATATTTGCAAAACATGTATCTGGTAAGGGATTAATATCTGAAATGTGTAAGGAGTTCATGCAACTCAATAGCAAAAACAAACAAAAAACAAACAAAAAAACCCTCAAACAATCCAATTAAAAAAATGGGCAAAGAACCTGAGTAGATATTTTTCTAAAGAAGATATACAAATGGCCAGCAGGTACATGAGAAGATGCTCATCAACACTAAACATCAGGAAATTCAAGTCTAAACCACAATGGATACCTTAGACTTAAACAATCATATTGTACACCTTAAACAATGCTATATGTCAATTATATCTCAGTAAAGCTGGGGAGAATAAAAAGAACATCACTTCTTTCCTTTTTTGAAAGATTTTATCTTTAAGTAATCTCTACATCAAACATGAGGCTTGAACTCACAATCCCAAGATCAAGAGTTGCATGCTCCCGGGGCACCTGGGTGGCTCAGTCAGTTAAGTGTCCCGACTTCAGCTCAGGTCATGATCTTACACTCCGTGAGTTCAAGCCCGACTGTGCTGACAGCTCAGAGCCTGGAGCCTGCTTCAGATTCTGTGTCTCCCCCTCTCTCTGCCCCTCCCCTGCTCATGCTCTGTCTCTCTCTGTCTCAAAAGTAAAAATAAAAACATTAAAAAAAAATAAAAAATAAAAGAGTTGCATGCTCTACTGACTGAGGCAGCCAGGCACCCCTAATATTGCTTCTTTCTTAACTTCCTTCTCCTCTCTCTCCTGCTTAAAGTTGTTTCTTTTTAATGTCTTGCAACAGAATGTAAAGTTGACTCACCTCATTTTATCTATTATCATTCGTTTTCTGTCTTGTATGTGCATCAAACTTTATGAATTTGAAATGGAATTTGTATTTTTGATTCAGTTGTGTGCTACAGCCAGGTCATACTAGCTCATAAAAACGAATTATTAGCATCTCTTCCTAACTCCACATTAAGTCTCATTGGTAGCTTGAAATCAGCTATCCTGGGGTTATTTACACTACAGAAACCAACAAACACCATAAATCAGGGCTCTGTTTCTAGAGAGCCATTTCCTGAACATTTACCAACACACCACTGCTTCAATTTGAGCTTTGAACTGATAAATTTCTACTGTGGTTAATGAAGACTTATATCTCACGGAACTAAAGGCTACAATCATAGGAGAAGTGAAGAAGAAAGGAACTTAGAACCAGTTAATACTTCAAGTTATTAGTCAATGGGCAATTCACACATGTGCAATCATCCTCTGTTCCCTATCTCTATCACTCCAGTCCCCAGTGCCCCGTAATTGCAAACTGAGGCACATTCTTCTTTTCAGGAGAGAAATTAATACAAAAGATTAAGCATTAAATAGTCTAGAACCCAAGACTTCTTATCTAAGACAATAATTTTTTCCTTTTTTCTTTTTCTTCTCAGAATACTGATGAGTTTCTTTGCTGGAGCATCACAAGGGATTCTGATTTTGATTCTGTTAAAATTCTGGCCAAGAGCTTCATGTGCAGAGCTTCACATGTTAATTGGTGGATCAGACATTAGGAAAGTTAAACAGGTAAGTTCTAGGACTACCCAGTACAATGTAAATCATTCAGTGATGCACAAATGAAACAAATAATACACCCAATATTTTTAAAGTGGATCTTGATTATATCCTACTACAAATATTACACAATTAATTCCTACCCCTAAAAGAAGTGTTGAGCTCTCAGATTTTAACTCATTTATTTAGACAGTGTTTGATACCAAAAATACCAGTCAGGTAGAATAATTTGATAGTCCTTTTATCAAACTATCAGGCTCTGTTCTGAAACATCTATTTCTCCATTCATTTGACAAACATTTATTGGGCACCTGTAGGTACCAAGCACTGTTCTCCATTTTAGAGAAACAAAGTTGTACAACATAAACAAGACTTATACTGTCAATGGGGCTTATATCCTAGCTAGGAGGAGATGACACATACATCTAAACATGTGTAATGCAGACAATTAAAATAAGCAGAGGTAATAAAGCATGACAGGGTGGATCCAAGTTAGAATGCATGGTCAGGGAGGCTCCTCTGAGAAGATAACATGTAGGCTGAGGTCTGAATGACAAGAAATAGGCAGCCATGCTAAGACAAGGGCAAGACCTGTCTGGACAGAGACAGCCAGACAGCTGGTTCAGAGGCCCCAAAGCAAGAGTAAGTTTGTCATTTTCAGGGCCCAAAAAGTTAGCTAGTGTGGCTGGAACATAGTGGGCAGGGTGTCAGAGAATTAACCAGGAGCCAGACCATTGACATTTCATCCAGAGGCTAGCTCAGACATCTAGAAAAGAAGTAAGAACAGTGACCACTAGGAACTGGGATTAGACTCCTCGCCACAGCAGTTCATTTTCCTTAATAGATGTAAATCTGGTAGTTTAGACTAAGGTGTTGGTAGTAGAGAAAAGAAGATGGCTTTAGGATATGAGTTAGAGGTTGAATCAAAATGACTTGGATAGATACAATGGATTGATTGTAAAAAGTGAGAAATCAAGAAATCAAGGCTAAAGTCTAGAATTTTTCCTGAAGCACATATATGGAAGGTGATGTTGGTGGAATAATTTAATAAGATGGGGAGTTCCATGGAGAAGCATCTTTAATAAGGAATCATGAGTCCACTTCAGCCACACTAAGTAATGCCTATTTGACCTTGTATGTTGTCTATAACCTGTTTTAAAAATATTTCAACATCAACAATATGCTAGCACGTGTGTAAATGTCTACGTGTATTTCAATACCATTTTTAGGCACTTAACTTGAATTTAAAAGTGGTTTTTTAAAACCTGAAACATTTTTTACCTTGCCTGAGCCCACTGTGAGCCAGTGATTCTCCACTCACCTTGCACTGACACTGACGGAGTGGATGTGGGCAGAGCGTTGGTGGCCAGGCTCAGACTGGGGCTGCTACATCTGGCACTGCTCCTACCCAGGCAGATTTATTCAAATCAAACAACTGTTGTACACTTTCAAGTAACTCCTCCCACAATACCTGGACTGCTCCAAATCCAGTTAATGCTACCACCGTGGTTACAGGCGGTGCTCTGCAGTCAACAGTCTCTTCATGATCTCATTCTCCCTTCTACATCTCTAATGTTAAGAGACTCAGGCCAAGAAACATCTATATTTCTCCATCTTCTAAACTCAATCCAAATGGTGTCTGGACACCCGGTGTGACAAGGAAAAAACAGGTCTTCGATGGATATAATTCCACCCCTTATTTTATTGACACAGGAAATGCTGAGGATGCCAAATATCATTGGATTGAAGAACATGTGAAGGTTTTAACTAGATGATGAATCTCACAAACAGTGAGATCATGAGCCAAGTCAAACCAAGAGTCAGAAGCCTAACCAACTGAGCCATCAAGGTACCCCCTGACAGATCTTGAAATTAAAAAGGCAAATATGAGTGGGGCACCTGGGTGGCTCAGTCAGTGGAGCATCGGACTTCAGCTCAGGTCATGATCTCACGTTCATGGGTTTGAGCTCCATATTGGGCTCTGTGCTGACAGCTCAGAGCCTGGATCCTGCTTTGGATTCTGTATCTCTCTTTTAAAAAAAATTTTTTTTAAAAGGCAAATATGTGCAAGAGCCAAAATTGTAAATAAAGTATTTGTAAAGTGAACACTGGAAGCTTACCTACATTATATTCAGAAAAACTTCTATACTCTTTTTGTAAATACTTTTCTTTAAAACTCTGAATCAGAATAGCCACATTTGGAACAGTTTCTGTTAGTCAATATCTTTAGATAGTTAGAACCTGGTCCTAAGCCTCAAGTGGGCTTCATTCTGGAAAGTAAATCTTTTCACAACTGCCTCAAAGCACAGAAAGCTTTTTAAAAAATAGACACTCTAAGGTCTTTAGTTCGCATGGTTATATACTGAAGCTTAGATGTTCCAGTACCTAATATGACCATAGTGGTCTTGATAGCCAAAGTCATTTTTTTCCATCTTTAGGACCTACACCAGGATAACCATATCCAACAGATCTCAAGATAACTGTATGTGTGAATGAACATTCCGTTTTGTTTCAAGCCTGAATGTGGTACTATTTTGTATTGTATATTATGTTTGTGTATTTATGCTTTGATTCATAATAACTTCTCATTTTATGGAATTTATTTGCATTGAACACAAACTGTAAATAAAAAGAAATGGCAGAGAGAGAGAGAGAGAGAGAGAGAGAGAGAGAGAGAGAGAGAGAATCTGAAACAGGCTCCAGGTTCTGAGCTGTCAGCATAGAGCCCGATGTGGGGCTCAAACTCATGAACTGTGAGATCACAACCTGAGCTGAAGTAGAATGCCCAACCGACTGAGCCACCCAGGCGCCCCAACCTCAAACATTTTTAAAATGCAATTGATTTGATTGGTTTGAAGAACATGTGAAGGGTTTAACTAAATGATGAATGTCTATTAAATAAACTGGGGTTTCATGTGCAAGATTAGTTAAGTCAGTACTACTCTTAGACCTAAATCTGAGCAAAATAGACTGTTGCCCATGGCCCTACACTTTAGAGCTCACTTCTGACCTTTTTTTCAGCTCAACTCCAATCTAAGGGGCCAAGAAGACATGTACTATCAGACAAATACCCATGTGACTAAGATCCCAGAATTCCTTGCCCAGAGGGTCCAGACATGCTCCCAGAGATGGGAAGCCATCTTCCTTGGGTACTTCCTTCCAAGGGTGTATCTCACTACTGGTATGGATCCGCCATGGCCTAAGATTTGGGTAAAGGATAGCTGTTTGGTTTGTAGCCAGAGCAGGTACTGTTAATAGAGCTTTGACACATGGTCTAGTTTGGTATCTCCTTGCCTATTTGTATGAGATCCCTTGTTGTGCCAGAGGGAACTGAAGGAAGAAGAGCTCAGGTTAGGGTGAGCAAATTACAGAAAGGGATTTCAAGGATTCTGGGGATTCTAAATTATAACCTGGCTTTCTAGGCCATTACTTAAAGTATATTTGTGATAGTAGGATCAAACATATTTTATTTAGCAGTTTGATAGCTTGATTTATAACTTACAAAAACTTAAGACTTATGGTATGTGGGTTTCCATTGCTATTCTTGCCATCAGTTCTACAAACTTTAGGGGCAGACCTGGATGGCAGGCAGCAAAGAAAGTGTTATTTCCATAAAGATGTTGAACACCAGCTTCCACATAAAGGTTTTGTTTTGTTTTTTTAAAGTTCACTTATTTATTTTGAAAGAGAGAGAGAGGGAAAACACAGGAAGAGGAAGGACAGAGAGAGAGAGAGAGAGAGAGAGAGAGAGGAGAGAGAATCTTAAGCAGCTCCATGCCCAACACAGGCCTAGATCTCATAAACTGTAAGATCATGACCTGAGCCAAAATCAAGAATGGGATGCTTAACTGACTGAGTCGCCCAGGTGCCCTACTCATAAAGTTTCATAGCTCAGTTATGTGTGTATAATATTTATATATTTTGGCAAAGACAGTTACTATTTTCATTAGTGGACTATAGCCATTTTTTAGGATGCAATTTCAAGGACATATCTGCACCAAAGTTTCCTTAATTAAGAATATTGTTTTTCTCACAACACTGTACTCCGCTAAAATTTGTGTTTACATATCACAAAAGTTTTACCTTTAATATTGAAATTCTTACCTGAATTCACAGTAATGTCAGAATGAATATCCAAAAGATGTATTTCAATTTCATGAACTGAATAAAGAAAAACAAACCTTTACTGGAGCCAATTTTCTCTTTGATTTATCTAGGACACTGGCATAAAACTAGTCTCATTGAACTGTGCAGTTCTTCTGCTAATGGAGCCAACACATGAAGAGTTATCACTTCACTTTTCATTTGTCCAAAAGAAAACTTGGAATCCAAAGTGGGCGAAGTTAATGAAGAAAATCATCTGAGGTAAATGAAAAGTCAAGCTTCACTGAGTGATATGTAAATGTACTTTTTGCAGGCATACATTTGGTCATTTTTGGATATAGTCTTAAATTAACTTCTAACTTTTGGAATAAATGCTGGTACTTCTTCAGTAGATGTGTATCTTTCAGGTGTTTATGTGGTGAGTGGTGTCACTTAGCCCTCATGGTAGATGGTAAGTTGTGTTGATAAACATTCTTTGCAAGGTCCACATTCATCATCAACTTTGTTGTGAAACTGAAATTCAGAACTTAGTTTTTTGCTTTTTTGTTTGTTTTTTTGGCCTCTTTGCTGCTGAGTTTGTTACAAAACAAAATTACCAAATAATAATTACTGCAGATATATGTACATAAACCAAACAATAAGTAACAAGACCATGTAATGAGAGTACTCAGGCTGGTCTCTATAAGCTCTATATGATGGCCCAGGCTCCAGCTCCCATTCATGTTTCCCAACTAAGCAATGAAGTCTCAAGTTTCTACTGATCCTGCCAACTGATAGCTAGTGGCTTCATTCATTTTGAAGGGTGTAGGTGTAGTGTAGGCCACAGAACAATTGGCGGACCCAACAATGGCAATTAGGGACAGTGCTGTTGAGTCTTTTCTCCTACCAGCACCCAAACTGGGAGGAATTAACTTCATGAGATAGCTCTCTCTTGCCTGAAGACACTATGTTTACCAGCAAGTGCTATGCATGCTGTCTTTGAAAGGGAGGTTAAAGTAAAAACAAAATCTTTTCACATATCTCCCACACTACTAGACAACCATGTCAGAAGCTGAAAATAAGAAGTAGAGAGCTACTAGTGCAGCTATTAATAATTCTTCATTTAAAAAAAATTAAAAAACCTGAGGGAAATGTTAGACCACTTGAGACACTGGGACAAAAGGTGCAAATTGGAATTGTTCCAATTTTGGTCACCATAGTTATAGGAAAATAAAGAAAGGTCATTTTCTTTGCCCCTTTGGAAATGGTGTTTGTAATTTTGCTACCTGGCATATAGGTATACCTGAGTTTTCTAAAGGTGTAGTTTCCTAGGTGTGAGTTCTTTTAGCCAATGGCAATAATATGAGCCCAGGATGCCTGCTTGATACCTGTGGCTATGTGACCTTCATTCTATTCCTTTTGCCACTGAAAATAATTCAAAAGCTGCCTGATTGACTAGGCTGCCCTGGCCATTTAGTTTTAATGACAGAGCTGAGCAGGCTGGGGGACAAAAGACCTAGCACATGGCATGTACTCAATCAATATTTCAATAAAAGAAGCCATTGTTGGAGGTGCTACTGAAACCCATCAACTTCCTCTGGGCTGTTTTCCTTGTAACATCAGAAAGTTCAGAGTAGCTTCCATGGCTATGTGTTTATGACTCATATAAACATATAAATATTTAGTAGAATTCTAAATAAAGAATCAAAAATAATGTCAGTAGTTTCTTGAAAGTCATGAAATGAGCTTACATCATTAAAAATATCAATAAATAACTGCCCCATTAGGATATCACAAACACAATATTTTGCAAGGAAGTTTATAGCAAAAAAAAAGAGAGACAGACCATTTATCTCAGAATCACTGGGTGAATTGCTGGGCAATGACCTGCCTATCATATTCTACTGTTCCTAGAATGCTGACTACAGCTTTTGCCTCTGCTTGACATGTCAAGCTAAGTAGCTAAATGCTGATATTTGATATTATTTGATGTCTTAATCAGATTCTTATTCAATAGAAGCCACTGCCACAGTTTGCAAAGACTTGTAGAAATTGAAATTCTAGTCACTAAGAATAGTCTAGTCACTAATCTAGTCACTAAACCTAGTCACTAAAAATAATATTTTTAGCTTGCTCTTTGGTTCCATAATTTAAGCTGATTTTTTTTAGGCTTCTAATTAAGTAGGTGAAGAGGAACATTATGGAACAGTGGTTAACACTAGGATTGGTGTGATATTCTCTCATTGCTCACCATATCCTGCCTTTGTTTTTTATTTTTATGTTTTTAGCACTAAGGAGAGCTGATATTATCATATATGTATATCGTCTTTCCCAAAAATGTCCCCAGATGTATTTTCTCAGAGGACATAAATACCTATATTAGACATGAGGAGAATTTTTTAGTTAGTCCCTAAGAGGTAGGATGGTGTTTATGGGTTCCAGAATGTAGTTGCTTAAGTTCTCTGACAGAATAAAATAACTCGTGTTGCTAACACAGATGGGAAAAAAAAATCATGTTAGGCTTTATCAAAGAGTTTTCTATGGAACAAGAGTTACATGTGCTATTCCATGAAAGGAGGGGAGGGTTCTGTGGCTAGAACCCTCCCACCATACTTCCTTCTTGGAGGTTCCCAACATATGTTAACATAATAAAGAATCTGATTGGTACTGTTATGAAGAAACCGTTTAAGTTAGTTTAACTTGCAGTTTTCTAAATTTGTCTAGAGTTTTTCATGAAGCCTGCATTTTGTGTTACTTTACACAGAAATACTGTAGTGGTGTAATATCATTTATTAAAGTCTGTTTTTGGGCTAATAATTTACTTTTCAAGATATACTTTCCAAGATATTATTTCCTATTTATGTACACTAAATCTAGGTGTATTTTCTTTCAGGTTTTATTTGCCAATCGGTTATGATAACCACCCCCAAATGCTCTTAGTGTCATGTGATCTTATAAAATAAGTGACTCTCTTTCCAGAGCTCATTAGCTTCTGTTATCCAGTCTCATTTCTTACCTTTCCTTTGCTGCTAGGCTTTTGAAGCTTTGTTATCTTCTACCCCACAGAACCACTGCAATTTAGCTGGCATTTGGCCAGTTTCTGTTTCTCTCGTTCCCAATTCTCTTACCCCCAAATGTCATTTTGCTCTCAGATTTGATCAGTACAATAAACATTGATCATTTTATTTGTGTCTGTCATTCCAATAAAATGAAAACATTCCAGATTATGGATATTATCTCTTGACAGAGCAATACTGACCGTATTCACTTTTTTCCTGACTAGAATTTACTACACTTTTTTCTTGTAGTGCAAGCAAGTCTTATTAATACCTAATGAAAGGATCGAATTCAGGCTAGCAGTCTCAGTGGACCACCCTCCAGCCCTGTGGTAGAAGTGAAAATCTGGAGTCATTTTATTTACTCAATTGTGAATGCTTTTGCCATCCTAGCCATCGGGGTACAGAGACAAGAACAATACAGGGAGTCCCCTGCTTTCATGAAATGTAGATGAGGGTGTTATAGCTCATAATATAGTATTTAAAAAATGCATCTTGATCCAGTGTTGAGGCCTGGCTTGAAAGCAAATCAGTTCCCCCTTTTGAGCAGCTCAAGTCCACATTCCTATGACTTCTCTTATGGAACACCTACACACCAGGAGTCAATGCAGCAGACCTAATTGCCCCTGGGCCAAGTACCAGACAACTAGAAACAATCCCTAAGTCCTAGAGCTTATGAAATTATTCAAATCAGCCAATTCACAGGGAGCATGCTCAACCTAGTTAACCCCACTCTGCTTGACATACATAAACTGCCTCCACCCCCTGGTGTAAACCTCCATGTGGCCCTGCCTGGCAGCTTGCTGTCCTTTGGCAAGTAACAAAAAGTTCTGCTTTTCATCTATCCAAGTGCCGGTGTGTTGTGCCATCAAAGAAGACTTAAATCTAATAAAACATAGCTACAAGCAAAATTTTCCTTTTTCCCTCTTATTGTTATACAGATTCCAAAGGACTTAAAATACAGGTACTAATTGGTGGTTGGAAAGGAGGTAGGATCAGGATTTCAAGAGAAGAGAATTCTTTTAAAAAAAAATTAACTTGAATAACTTAATTCCCCCACCAAAGACTTTAGCAGGTTAATGCGTCCCATATATTCAGTTACTGATTATATGCCTATTGAGCATTTGCTGTGGCCCTGGTATTATAATGCTCCAGGTGGTATGCAAGAAAAGAAAGTGTGTATCCTACCCTTGAGAAACCTGCAGATTAATTAAGAAGACATGACATGTACTTATAATGATTACAAAGAAAAAATAAAGTGTGTAGTAACTAAACTATCCCTAAGTCCAAAAATTGATAAAAATATGAAAGAACTAGAGAAATAAATTGGCTTGCAATTTTCAATAAGTGCTAACTTTAAAATAATTTTGAACTTTCCTAGTTATTTTGCTAAAATAAACTGCTTGCATTGTTGCTCTTTTCCTGAGTTCATTCTTCCTAGGTCTGAAACCCTTTCTGTGAGGCACACAGGGCCTGGCTGTTTCTAGCCCTGCTTCAAAAAACTCAGATGCTTTGCAGTCATGTGCATTTTGAGCTGAAGCAGGTAACAATGTTCTCTCAAAGGATGGATTTTGGAGGAATGTGTTGACAGTTCAGATCAGGTGAAGCTATTTCTTTCAGAACTTGGGTGTGTTTCAATAAGGAAAATGGTTTCAGTCCAAATTCATTTGCAATACCAACCTTCCTGGCTGGGGAACTGAATGCTTAGCTAATTTGTTTTCAAGGGGTAGGCTTCCATGTGTTTAAATGACTAACTGGTCTGGAAGTTGGGCTTCTCCAGAAGGCATTTTATGTCGATCCACGGTCTTCAGGGGAACTCACACTTTTCCAAGGAGAGCAGCAGGCTGTAGTTGACCAAGCCCCTGCCCTTTCTCTAGGCTCACTCTCCCATGGCTTTCGATCATTATTCCTACCACTACTTTCTTACTGAACATACCCTGTGTAAAGGATTACAGTAGCCTCTGCAGGGGATGCCTAATATTCCAACAGAGAGATGAGGCATGGACTCTGTTCAAGGCAGAATGTGGACACAGCCATAAAAAGACATAAAGTGTTGAGTACATGAAGTGAAGAAGGAGTCACTTCCATCTGGGTGGAATAGAGAGAGCTTTACAGAGAAAATAACACTTGCATTGGGATTTGGGAGAACAGGTTTGATTTGTCAGCTACTGAAGGAATCGGCAAACTGCAGCCTATGGGCCAAATCTGTCCCAGCAACCTGTTTTTCTAAATAAAGTTGTTCTGGAACTCAGCCATGCCCACTCACTGATGTATTGCCTATGGCTGCTTTCATGCAACAACAGCAGAGGTGAGTAACTGTGACAGAAACTATATAGCTCTCAAAGACTAAAAAATTTACTTTTTTTTTTTTTTTACAGAAAAAACGTGTGACTGTTGGAATAAACTTGAAGTAGGCCAAAATAGAGAACTTCATTTGGCAGACATTCTGGAAACAGAATGCTTCTGAGCCTTGGGAGTGTCTGAATGTTCACAATGATACTGAACTTCAGGACATGGAGTGTGGTGGATGGACTGTAGAAGACTGGTGTTGTGGGTAGGAAGAAAAAGTCAGAGGTTATGTTGTCACCTCTGTGAACAATAATGAATGTGGATTAAAGGTATGTCTGAGATAAAAGGCAAAGGATACAAAAGACACTATGAATAAAGCCCAGGCAGGGAGGACCGAAGGCAAGAGAGAATTGAGGATGGCACAAGGGTCTTTTTTGCTTGTTTATTTTTGAGACAGAGAGAGAGAGAGAGAGAGAGAGAGAGAGAGAGAGACATAGAATATGAAGCAGGTTCTAGGCTCTGAGCTGTCAGCACAGAGCCTGACACAGGGCTCAAACTCACGAACTGCAAGATCATAACCTGAGCTGAAGTCAGATGCTTAACCAATTGAGCCACTCACATTCCCCTGGCTCTAGAGTCTTGAGTTTGGGTGACTGGGGATGTCAGTAATCCTGACATCCAGAAAATATATCGACCTCAACAGGGCAAATTGGATACTCCTCCAACCATGCCTTGATTAGGAGGAGAAATAAAGCTGGAGTGGCCCCATCCGTCCAGGGCAGATGGCACTAGGAAGAGAGGTGGTCAGAAGCTATTGTTACAGAGAAATAAGACTGACAGTCTTGCTTACAAAAAAATATCTATTACTAGATAGGAAACCAGCCCAAGGAATCCAATCCCTGAGATAAAAACAGTGAATGAGTTGGAGGAGTGTCTTTATGTTTTAAGTCATCTTGAAGTATAGCCAGATAAAATACAAATTGCCTAGTTAAATTTGAATTTCAGATCAACAAAGAATAATTTTTTTTAAAAGTACATCTCAAATGTTACATGGGACATATTATTACAAAAAATTATTTGTTCTTAGATCAACAATGAATAACTTTCTAGTGTATGTCCCAAGTATGGGATGTATTTATACTAAAAATCATCTGTTTGTTATCTAACATTCAAATGTCATGGGGTTTTTTTTGTTTGTTTTTGTGTGTTTTTCTAAATCTGACACACCTACTTGTAAGATAAGCAAGCCAAAGCTTTCACTTTTGAGGAGACTGAGCGACCAAGAATTGAAGCACCTGTATTTGTTTTCTCTCACAGGAGTTGAGTTGACTCTGTCAGCCCTTCTGGAGCCCACAACTGAGCAGGGATAGCTCAGTGAACATCAAGCCAGAGTATGAGACCTTTCAGAGTGCAGACAGAGGATGCACCAAGGGGTGTGGTAGGGTGAAGTTTCCAGTGATGGTGGCTGGGGCATCCAACTGAGGGAGTTAAATAAAGGGTTGTATGGAGTAAAGAGTGTCTGGATTAGAGAGGCGGATTGAGTTCAGGACAAGGATAGATTCCTTAGAGAAGGCTCCTTTCAAAGACCTAATTCTGGAAGGAATTTTCTTGGGGTAGAATAAAGCAGCAACTATACTAACTAAAGGTCCCAGTTTCTATTACACTGGCTGCAATGTAGACATATGTCTACTTCATACCTCTGAATCTTTGATATGTCGGGTCAGTGAAGGGATGAAAACTATTCACCCCAGTTATATCATAGAGCTGTGTGATGATTAATTTTACGCACCAACCTAGCTAGGCTATGGTACAAACACAACAGATGTTGCTGTAAAAATATTTTTTAGATGTGATTAACATTTAAGTCAGTAGACTTTGAGGAAAGCAGACTATCCTCCATAATGTGGGCAGGCCTCATCTAATCAGTTGAAGGCCTTAAGAAAAAAGGCTGAGATCTCTAGAAGAGGAAGAAATTCTGCCTTCAGACTGCCTTTGCACTCATGACTGTAACACTGATACCTGCCAGACTTTCCAGCCTGATACTGCCCCCATAATTGCATTAACCAATTGCTTAAAACAAAAATAAATCTCTCTGTCATATACATATATACATTCTATTTGTTCTGTTTCTCAGGAGGACCCTAACTATACAGGCAGGTGATCAGGTGATCCTGGAGTAGCACTAACCCCCATGCCACTTCCTCTGATTCTCATTGGGAGCACTGCTGGTTTGCCCTAGCACCAGATTTCTTTCTTCAAACCCAAGCCTGAGTAACAGTAAGACTAAACACACAGCTCATTAAAATACATTTCTTCATTTAGGGGAAGGCAGAACCTGCCTGGGTTGTCTAAGAGCCATCATGTACATGGGAGTGGGGCTATTATTTCCCATAGCTGGATGGGTGCAGTCTTGGCCTTGGAATTCTGGGGAGTGAGGCTGTGCCCTTTGACTTCAGGCATACCCTCGACACAACAGCTACACAGGGTGCTGTTAAAACTGTGTGTCTAAGAAGATGGCTTCACCATATTTCCTTTCTTCTTTATCCAGTCTCCTCACTGGAGAGATGATGCAAACAAAGACATACAGGTTTATATTAAAAATCTTTAGAGGATGGTGTATCTGTCTACTCTCCTCCCAGCTCCCTAGCAACAGCTGTATCATCCTTTCATAAATCTTTTCATGGAAATTTTGGAAATTTTTCTGCGTAGGTCTGTTTTTACCTCTCGGTATCTTTCCCCCTGCCTCTCTCTCTCTGCTTCTCCATCTCCATCTCCCTCTCTCCCTCTGTCCTTCCCTTTTCCTCTCTTTGTCTCTGTTTCTCTGTATGCTTCTTTCTTGCTGGTGTGATCTCCCACATCAACCACTGTCCCATTTTTTTGATTCCTTCTCGGCAACAAGAGTTACAGCACCATCATGCAGCAAGCAGTCTTGCTTCCCTGCTACCTTAAAATAATAATGTTTCATGGTGACAAATGGTTATAGTCAACAATGAAAGTAAAATGCTTAGCATACAAGGGTCAGATTTCTCTGCCCAGCAAAAACAGAGAGTGGCTTAAGAATCTCTGAAGAAAGGAATATGTACGTAAGGATAGCTGGTGATGCTTGCCAAGTGGACACCTCCACTGTTTTATTCCAAATTAAGCTTCTGTGAACCTCAAGGGTAAGTTCTCAAAGGCAAAACTATAGTTATTCTTTTTTTTTTCAACGTTTTATTTATTTTTTGGGACAGAGAGAGACAGAGCATGAATGGGGGAGGGGCAGAGAGAGAGGGAGACACAGAATTGGAAACAGGCTCCAGGCTCTGAGCCACCAGCCCAGAGCCCGACGCGGGGCTCGAACTCACGGACCGCGAGATCGTGACCTGGCTGAAGTCGGACGCTTAACCGACTGCGCCACCCAGGCTCCCCAAAACTATAGTTATTCTTAATTAACTTAAAAACTAAGGTTTTGTTATTATCCTAAGAAACTTAAAAAATATTAGATTTAAAAAATATTAGATTTTAAAATTTAGATTTTAATATGTTTCACACTTGCTCTTTTTCTTTGATAAAAAATTAAAAACAAACATAAAACAATCTGGATTAATGAAGGTATACAATCCTTTTTGGACTCTAGCAGCTTAAGTTTCTACATTGTGCCAGAGAAGGCCCAATTAAAGTTAAAAAAAGAAAAAAAGGAAGAAAATGACTTTTCTAGACCTCTTTTTCCTCCTTACCACTAAAAGGAGAAAAAAAAACCCTAATATCAAGAAACCAAATACTTCCAAATATACTTCCAACCAAATGCTGTTTGCACGCGCATGTGTGCATGTCTGTTTTGCACACTACACGTGTGCCTTCCCCTGGGTGCAGATGGCTACTCCAGGAGCAGCACATGTGCGATGTGTATGTCTGAGAGTCGGCTTGCTAGTGCACATGGAAAGAAGAAAACAAGTGAGTGAGGTAAAAACCACACAAGCCTAAATCAAAAGCAACTGTTCTACCATGAGGAAAGTAGGTGGACCTTGCTTTGTACACACACCACTCTTCACCGCCCAGACTGATCTTTGAAATAAAATAAAGAAGCATGGCAAACTAACTGAAACATAGGTAGAAATAATATATTTGGATTTCAGAAAGAAAAAAAATAACTGGCATAGCTTGAAAGGCACCCATTTCATAACAACACATGTGCAAAGAATTACAATAATTGCAGTGCACACATCGGTAACAGACAGAGCGAACAATGAATATTAAAAACACATTCCTAGAGCTGGCCCCGTGGCTTGGCAGCAGTGCACGGCATGGAGACCTGCACGGGAGTCAAAGAAAGGCTGTCAGCTTCCAGAGCTGTCATAGCTTGGCAGAAGCTGAGGAGAAAAGAGGAGGGAGGAAGGTGGCAGTGATTGTCCCCATCAGTGTGACTGCCATCTCCCAGTGGCAGAGCCCTAGGATGGCCTTAGGAGGATTTCAAAGAGGAAGTCTGCCTTTGGCCCTTTGGGGCTGTAGTTTAGAGCTGACTTTGAGCCAGGTGGAGATGGAGGAGGGGTGGGGGTAGAGAACAAACAGAGAGAAGGTAATGCTGGGAACACCCAGACAGTGCCCTGGACAAGCATCCCAGGCTTCTCTCTCAAGGCTTGCCTACAGCATGATCTAGCGTGATGAACTTCACTGCTGTGGAGACATAAACTGGGAGAGTGTTTATTTTCTGTGGACTAAACACATTGATCTGCCTTTTTCCCTTCAGTATTTGCTATGCGGTGGCATTAAAGTCTGCAGGGGGGTTGGGGTGGTGAATTCTCCAGGTGGTATGTTCCAGGGCCTTCAAAGGCACATTAACTAAACATCCAAGGTACACAATGATCTTTTCACTGTGAATCCCTTCTATTGTCAGCAAAGACAAAAGGCCCTTCTCTTAAGTACAGCTTTGGTTTTGAATGTTCAGATTTTGCCTCTCACCACTGGCAAGGAATTGACTCTTCAATCCTTGCAACTTTGGCAATGAGAGAGGCCAGACTGTGAGAATCTCTAACCAGAGTTTGGTTCACACACTGGGAGTTGAGGTGCTGGGACTCTTAAACTGTGGGCCATGAACATTCAAGGGGTTGGGAAGTAGAATTCAGGGAGATTCATAACCTTGGATGGGAGAAAAAGGACATCTTTATTTTTGCTAGTCTCTGAAATTTAGCATTCCTTTATTTATAAATGTAGAAAACGAATCACAATAATGTTAGTAATACTTATGACTTTGTCACCAGTAAAAATTATGGGTATTTTCATGTCATTTCACTGTTGTTTCACACATCTCCAATTGTTAAGCTTATCATTACTTGGAATTATGGTAATTATTTGACCTGCTACAGATCTTATTTTATGCATTAGTGAAGAAGGGCATAGCATAATAAAATACTTTGATAACTGTATTTCAATACATTGGTTTCCTTTGACATATTATGTGCTATATTTTCTTTTTAAAAAGATTATTCTGAGAAGGGGTCCACAGATGACTTTTCCACACTTGCAGAGGGTTCCATGGCACACACAACATTGTCCTAAGCTCAATAGGACCCAGTCTCTAAAGCAGTCATGAGGAACTGGGCCCTCTACACAGTGAACTCCATAGTAGGCTGGCCTCATGTGTGTCTCTATACATGGGGGGGAGAAAGAAAAGACAAACGTACGGCTCCAGACTCAACACTGAGGATTTAACAAAGGAACTTCTCACTTGTCCACTCTTTAGATATGCTCAACAAATGTTAGCATTTGTAAGACAAAAATTCATATTTTCTCTTCAATGATTTGCGGTAGAGCTCTAAAATGATTCCATTAAAAAGAAAATAAAATAACCCCACAAAAAATTTCTCCAATTTCTCCAGATGCTGGTCAACAATGTTTGCCATGGAATCACAGCTGATTGGGTAGAGAGAGGCTGATGATGAACTAACTGTATTTACCAATTTCTGCACCAATGGTGGAAGGACAGAGAACAGCCATGAGAGGTTCAGATAATAGAAGACAACATAGGGTGACATCTCTTAAATGAAGGAGTCCCCTCAGAGAACTGACACCTATAAATGTTGTGCAGGTAAATTAGAAAGTCCGTTTGTTTTCACTAGCCCTCATGATAAAGGAGAAGAGTAGTTTAGAGTTAAAAGCAATGATTCATTAGATTTATCAAAACCTGAAATTCTAAAAACAAAAACAAAAACAAAAAACCCCCAAAACCTGAAGTTCTGCTGAACTCTTGTGCTCAAGTAGAATCTAGTACTAGAAGGAAAGCTGGGAGAAATAGGACTACTTCCAATTCTCAAAAATATGAACCTCAGAATTGGGCTTACAAAGGACAAAATACTCCTTGAAAGAAAACATGTGAAATATTAGCAATTTTCAAAGGCACCCTTTTTTTTTTTTTAACTCAGAGAGAAATATTGAGTGTCTTACTAGAGCTCTAAATAAAGTCCTATAAAAAAGTTGGGAGGCATAGAGATAAAAAGATGGATAGATAATTTGGTAAAATATAGATATGTTATATTTCAGACACTATATTAGTTTTTAAAATACATTTATCAGGGCACCTGGGTGGCTCAGTCAGTTAAGGCTCTGACATTGGCTCAGGTCATGGTCTCACAGTTTGTGAGTTTGAGCCCCATGTCAGGCTCTGTGCTGACAACTCAGAGCCTGCAGCCTTGAAGCTCAGAGCCTGGAGCTTCAGATTCTGTGTCTCCCTCTCATTATGCCCCTCCCCTATGTGCACACACATACTCTCTCTCAAAAATAAACAAACATTAAAAAAAATAAAAATAAAATACATTTATCGTTTAATTCTCTCAACATTTCTAGGCCCAAGTTTTTCAGATGGGGGCAAGTTTAAAGAATGAAATAACTTGACTAAGGTGATAAGAGTTAGTAAGTGGGATTTAAACTCAGGTTTGTCTGGCCCCCAAAGCCACTATTCCATTATTTCAAGTGGTTCCAATTATAAAAAAAAAAATATCACTGTGATTGAATCCTTAAAGCCCAAGAAGTTGTTATAGGAATTGAAAGATCAAATTTCCAGTCAGGAACATAAATGGCAATGTGATAACAGGTTACATATTGATAAAAGAACTATGATAGCAAACAAAATT